ATACCTGAGATAATGTCACATTGAAATGCTCTTGTTTATTTCTAGTTTTCAGAACAAATTCAAGCAGACATTTTCCTTCCAGTTTCACTGCCATTTCCCTCATTAGCACAGTCATTAAAAGGAAAGATGAAATAAAACCCTGACATTCCTGTATGTGATTTTAAGTCACTCATCTAAAATACAGTAAGTCAGAAGACTTTGCAGATAAAAACAGCAGAAGAAATATACTTATTTAGGACTTAGTTCATTAGCATTAATTAAGCTTTTACTTAATTTGCATAAGCAAGCTTTCTTGCCAGGAGGGGGTGCCAAGTACCCATAGCACTAATTTATTCCATAAAAAAACACACGTCAAATATTTCACAGAAAGATAAATTGCCATTTTTATAGCAGTTGTCCATTACCTTGATAGACCAAACAGATCACTGGATCTTTTTCATTCTTTATTTAAAAGCTTCAGCTTCTAAGATCCATTATTTGGGAGCAGCCTCTTTTTTTTGCTGGGTTTTTTTTTTATTTTTGGAAGATGAGAACAACTTCTAGTTTTCTAATATTTAAAGTGCTTTCTAAAATTTGATGACAATATCCTGAATCCACAATTCAGCTACAGTCAACAAATCGGTCTTTGTGTACACAACATAATCAGTATTTCTACTCAATAATGACCTAAATTACAACAAAGCACAGCATCTTCAGTCCTACCCTTTGATAATGCTGTATTTTGTTGGTAGCATCAATTTTTGAAAAAGAAAGCTTCTCCAAAACCATTTTTTTTTTTAGTATCCTGGATAGCTGTATTATTTTCTTGATTTCGGCTTGGTTAAAATAGGCATTAATTTATGCCCAGATACGTAAGTCATATGTAAGTCAATAAATCATTATTTATGCTGATCCATCCAAATATGTAACTCAAACCCCCTTCAGAAACACTTAATATATCAAAAGAAAAATGAGCTTATTGCAATAAATAATATAAACATCTACTATAAATACAAAGGCAAAGTGACTTGAACAGATATATGCTCATAGAAGAAATTGAAATGAAGTATTTAAAACAAAATAAACAACATGCACCACCACTAAGACAGAAAAAAAAAGGTATAAATTTTAAGAAAAAGCTTTGCCAAACTGAACAACTGCTAGCTGTGCTTCACTGGGAGCTACTGAAATAGCCCACACAATCAGGGTTAGAAGAACTACTTGTATCACAAGGAGTTCTGCAGAAGAACACTACAGCTTAAATACAACTCTTCAAACTCTGGAAACATCCCCAGTCTGAATTTTTATATTCAGTCTCCTAGTGCAATGAATCTCCAAAACCAGATCCAGACTGAGGTACGAGCCAGGTGCAGCACAAACACATGAAAATCTTTGCTACAAACTGCTGGAGAAGACAGGGCTAAAGAAGTGAGAATCCTGGATAAAAAATTGAGTATTTCAACAACAGAGGCCCTCCAAAAAATCCCAAAGCATTCTTCTTCTCAGCAAAGCCTTCCCACCAGGTATGGGATATCCCTTTTTCAGACACAAGCAATGAAGTCTCTAATCAATCAACTGGAGGCAGAAAAATGGTGATGGAACAAATTATATCTCTAGTTGGGCTGTTCTGTCATTTCTGGAATTATTTAATGCTGCAGTGATAGATTCTGTGGAGGCGAGGTAAAGAGATAATCAACTAATGCCTTTCACAATTTTAATCAAACATGAGTAATGTTTGGCAAATATATAAACAGCTCCCTAACATAGTAAGAGACACAGAAATGGTATTYTAGACCTGGCACAGCTCTAACACAGTTAAAAGGCAGCATTTTAAAGAGCGTGACCTTGAAAACCATTCTCATTTTAAGAGCTATGTGACCTTAAGATACATTAATTCATTAGATAAAAGTTTCTTCTCCCCAATGGCAAACATTTTCAATTTCACCACCAAAATGTCACGACTCAAACAGCAGATGTTTCTCTGAGCTTTCCTCTTAATCATTACAAAACCCTCTATTCTAGGTAAATAGCAAGGAACTGAAATAACTTGCAACCAATGTGGTAGCTTGAAAATAATGGCATTGCTGCTCAGTCACCTGGCCTCTGACATAAACCTAACTCTGCTCTTCACYAGCCASRTGTGGCCTGCTGGCCCACTGGAAARCCCCAGAAATTATTCATAACAGTAAACTTACACTGATCAACATTYTTTCCACAAGAATGTAAAGTATTGCCAATACCTGATTTCACTGCAGCCACATTCCCTCTGTGCAATAAGCAGTTTGTGGCTTCATGCATATTTTCTTTCCCATTTTTTTTCCTTCATATCCTTATATTATCTATTTGAACATCTTGACAATTCCTCCTCATTGGAAAAACTTAAGGTAACTATGTAATCTGCACTGTTACTTACATCTTCTGCAGACCTGTGGACTGGAAGCATTTTATTTTACACTATATCTTAYTTTACACTATTGAAAATAGTTGATCCAACTCCATGTGATATCCTCCCACAATCTGGATTTAACCCAGGACCTTSCAATTAGTTCTAAGGTTAGGACCTTTGGCTCAGTCAGATGTACCTGTGCCTCGTGTTTCACATTTTGTGCTGATTTTGCTGATCAGTCTCAGCATTTCTGCACTGCAGATGTAAAGGTGCTACTGCCCTTCTCTTCAGACATCTACACACACTTTTTTTCTCTGATGGCACACAGAATGGTGTCATGGGTCTTTCTAGATCATCGTTTTGGATATAAAGTTAATTTGTTCTCCAATTGCTCTTCATTTGTTCTTCAGTTGTAATAAATGGCTCTCAGAGATTAGCACGTTAATACACTATGATTATTTTATTTAGAGTAAGTATTTCGCTGCTTGTTTTATTCATGAATCATCACTATTTCCTTATTCCATGGAAAAGACGTGTTAGTTTTGTTCAGGAAGGTAAACAACTCCTAGTGTGTCTGGCAGTATGGATCCACGAGACTGCAGCCTTGTTTGCATCCAGATACATTCCATTGATAGCTACTGATGGATTTTCACACATCAGATCTCTCCCTCCACGCCTTCCTCTGTGCCCCATTTCACTGCTGGCTGCTTTCTGTAGTATTTTACTCAAAACCCACTAACACAGTGTTTGTCCTAATGACAAATTTTATAACTGAGAACCGTTGCGGCAACGTGTCCTCAGCCACACATCCTTTCTGGAATGAACACTSTGTCCTGATGTTCCTTTGGACAGCAGCAACAACCATCATTCACAGCAGTTTGTCTTCATTCATGCTCCTTTTGCATTTCTGGCTTGCTGCTGAAGGGGGAGGGCAATGCAGCAGGACACTTCTGTCACTTTGGAAACCTCCTTTCACCACATGAACAGCTTCAAGAGGACATCCTTCTAATTGGAAATTCCTAAAGTCACCTTCAGCAGACTGTTGCTGCAGGTGTACATCTCTATGACAACACCCAGTGTCATTCAGAGTGCACACAAGATTTTGTGTTTGAAGTTATTATTTCCTAATTCTGCAGACCATATGGCACCATAAAACCCGCAGCAGAGCGGATATTTTTAAAGCACCACATTAACTTTACTAGGGGCATTAACAAAGATGAGTAATGTTATCCTCACTCAAGTATGAATTATGCCAATGTTTTCAATTTTGGATGATTAAGGTTGTACCCAAAAATGATCGCCTGTTTTCTCGCATTACATCCCAGATGTAACAGGAGTCCACCTGTGCCTGTATCTGAAAGTATCCATACATATTCACAGAATGTTATTTTAAGCAAAACACCTAAAGAYAGCATTATTCTGATTTATTTTTTCTGAGGTTTATGATTGGTGAGTCTGACCCTGTTCTAACAAGACATCTCAGAAAAGAAAAATATTCTTTCCCAGTAATCACTGCATTTAATTTTAGTTCTACTTTAGCTTACTGATGAGAGRTACAGCATAGAAAAATCTTGTGAACGGCAATTTAATTAAAATATTTCTTAAATCTGTTCCATTTTGCAAATGCTTCTCTCTGCTCCAACCCACATAGTTTGCCACATTCCATAATGCTGCCTGGTAAATAACCTATGTATTTATTACCATTAACACTGTCACAGTGCTCTCATTATTAATTAATTAATGTGGTTAATTAATAAAACACACCAAGCATGTTCCAATTACTTTTTCCCACCTGCCTCCACTTCTTTAACGCAATACACTCAAACCAGAAAGATTTTTTGCTTTCCAATCATCTTGATGAATGATGTAAAGCAACAGGGTATATTCTCCAGACATTCAGCTTACAGCCTCTCTGCATGAACAGGCTGGATGTGCAAGGAGGCCCTGGGATCATKCCTGAGGGCATTAATGAGCTTATTAGAACACTGTAACAAGGATTATCTGAATTTCTTATGCAGAACTGAAGATTTAATCAGTCTCTTGCCTTCAACTACCAACACAGGTCAGCTTAAAATCATTGCTGTGCTAAAACCACATTTTTTTTTTCTTCTCATATTGATGTTCATYGTGATTTATGTTCATTAAAAATGGCAAAACTTCTGGGGGGAAAAAAATACATGAAACACAGCACGTCTTGTTTTATTATTATGAATTCAATGCAGCACAACTGACCTTGGCAGTRATTTTCATACTGAAAGGAAAACATCACTTTTCACAAATCCATCACATCACATCTGGATGCTAAGCTTTTGCCCACAGTTTTCATTGATATTGCACTTGAAAGGAAACTTCTCTTCACCTTTAACTTTCCTTCCCACACAGTAGTAGCTGTAAARATGGTTATCCTGAAAATCACTTGAGTGCCTATCTGGATGAAGGTTTTCTTATTGGGATCAGGCTGGAAAAACTTATTTTTAATAAAGCAATCAATAAATAAATAGATCTCTCCTAAAAGCTGCAATAGGAGCATACCAGCATAGTGCAGAAATGTATAACACAACTCATCTTAAGGCTTTCAATTTTGTTTTTACCTCAGTCTGTCTGGAGTCCATACATTTTTAATGAYTGTGCTTACCAGTTGCTGTCCGTGAACGCCCCAGGCTGCGTACTGCAAAACTGAATCCTCTACTTCTGGAGGGTTTAACTCCCAAACTTCCCTTGAAAAAAAGGGAAACATTTTTACTTGAACATCACCTTATGCACAGAGCCACTGACAATTACATGGTATTGAAAAAACAATGCGACCTACCTCGTGTGTATGTTATAAATCAAATATGAAGCTGTATAAGAATAATGAAAAACCTGTTAAAAAAAAAAAAAGAGAGAAAGAGCAAAGAATTACAAGACCAAATACTGGATTAAATACAGAATATCATGAGAGCAGCCACAGTCTTTCAACCCCTGTAAACACCAATACCTTTATTACTGAAAGGATGTTTTACTGAATTAATTATAACCAATAGAGCTGAACCGGGTTTTGAACGCTGTAGGAAGSACATGTTTTAATCTGTTAATTTAACCAGACACTGTTTCAGTACCACAACTGCACAGAAAATGCCCCAATCACAAAAATCTGCATTCCTGTTACAAAATAACCCAACAAAACAACAACCAAACAAAAAACAACCAAACAAAAAACGAAACAACTCACCAAAATCCAAAACCGCAAACAAAAAAAAATCCCGCCAGGAATATACATTAGGAAAAAGACCCCTTTTTTTCCCCTGTATGTCTTCATCAAGCTGTGTAAAAATGATTTCAAAGACATCACAGTCATTGTACTTGAAATGCAGACCAATACAGGGTCATATGGTATTTTTCTGACCACCTGCTATGAACAGCCTGAAGGCCCCCCCAGGTATGGCTCACAGAACAAAAAAACTCTATATAAGTTATGCCCACTTTCTTMGTTTTTCAGGAAAAAAATGTTAAGTTTTTTTTCTATTTAACATTTTGGGTAAAACAAAGAACTATTTTTCAGTAAACCTTTCTCATTCAACAGCAAGTTACCAGTGACTTCTGCATTCAAAACATGTTGGATTCTCTGAAYGGAACAAAAAAGCAATTGCAGTGTTTAATGTGATGGACCACCACACCACAGAGCTCAAATCAAAGAAAACCGTCACATGTTCTGTCTAAAGTCAAACATTAGTCTATGCACAGATAGTGAATAACATTCTGGTCCTTTCTAGGCTTGAGTGATTGGTTATTATCCAGCTTATTTTTGGTGTCTATGTCTTGTACAATGAAAACAGCATAATTTCATAGTATTAGTTAGTTTTACAATTTGAAATTACTTCATGGTCTTGAAGCATAAAATATATTTGCAACTAATTGTTACTGATCTAAGCAAAACTCTTTAATGTAAACTTTGTCAGAAAGAAACATTARAAGGCATCCACATGAAGGATTTATTCTTGGGCATTGCCAAGATAATCCCAGTTAGATGRGGACAGACACAGCTGTAAAGCCAAAACCTTGACATGCGTACTTGGGCTGGGAACTCTTCAGTTTTTATTACCTGCACTGGGAATTTTTTCAGTACCTCCTTCAAAGAGAACAGGCAAAAAGGATCCTACATGGACAGAGCCACTGGAATTTGTCACTATGGCACACCAGAGGGTTTCAGAGGTTGCTATTTTGTCTGGAGGCCATTCAATAACAGAGCCATCTGAAACATCCTTCCACAGACTCCCTTTTCCTGATTAGTTCCCTGCCAACACGTGCCAAGAATTCAGCACATGCTAAATCCTTGCTGGGTCATGCACCAAGAATCCCAGAAAGGTCTCTAATATTAGAAACTCTACTTTGTGCAACAGCTGAAGACCCCTCCTATAAAATTTCCCTTTGAGACAAAAATAATTTCCATTTCCCAAATCTAYTGTTTAATATCAAAACTGTCACTTCAATGAGAAGAATCACAAATATATTAATAAGTACACCCCAAACCTTCTTCTATTTTGTACTTTATATTACAGCTTAAGATAAACTGTTTGGTCATGCAAGGTACCAGCTTCTTCTGAGAAGTGTGACTGAAACAGAGACAAATGGTTAATCATGGTGCTTTCTGCACAGGGTGAGCACTGCCAGAGGTTACCCAAAGGGGCAYTTGCCAGCAGCTTTTAAAGGCCAGCCACAAAGAAGAAAAATGGGTCTCTGACCCTTGCGGGAAAAGGGAAAATTCTATCAAAAATAAAGTGTGTATGGCTGGTAAATATTTAGAATAGAAATATTTAAAAAGTAAGTTATTAGACGGAATATATTTCAACAAGAAATGCTAAACYAGTAAGTCATTCTGACAGCTTTAACAGAAAATATGCTGTAACAGCAAGAACAACACTTCATATGTCATGTGGAAACTCTCCTCCCGCCTTGTGTAACAYTTCTGTCTAAACATTTATGCAGAAACATTAATATCTGTGTTTGAGGTTGAAAGAGCTCCGCTTCCAGTGAGACCAACACTACAATGAAATCCTTTTCAGACAGGATGTTGATATTTTTCTCAAATTACTCATGTTAGTTTTAGCTCCTAACAGGAACACTGTGTATAAATTACAAGAACCAAAGTTTCTCAATTCATCTTGCTTGCAGGAGCCACACACTGAAACACAATCACTATCAGAATGAAATCGATRAGAAAAGATGTAGAAAATCTTTCTTTTTCAAGTCTGGCTCTTACAGTGAGTGCTTAGGAAGATTTTACTGTTTTGTATAAAGGTTTCATCTGTTTGCCTTCTCTTGCACAGAGCCATGGCAGTGGCTGGGACACGCCTCTCCTGATCCCTAAAATCCAACAGCACCAAGGGAGGAGTACCAGAAACCTCAAAATGCCAGGATCAAATCTCTCAGAGGGCCACCAGTTGTGTCATCTGTGGAAGAGGCTTGGGGAATTGCACCCTGCAATTCCTGCTTTGCAGCATGTGCACTAATCAGAAAAAAACCATGGTAATTTATGAAATTAAAAAACCTAAACTCAGGTAACACTGACCCCTCTCACAGCGTATTTACAGTGAAGGCTGGCTACTGTGTGAAACATTGAAATCCAAAGTCCTATCACTCCTCTCCCAAAATATTTTCAAACATTTCTTTTACTCTCTGTGTTCTAACTCTATGATTGAAAGACTGAAGTAAGGCTAATATTTAAACATGGACACTGAATTGCTCCAATTGACTAAAAAAAAGAGACGTGAAACTGAGGAAGAGGGAGAAAGGCTGTCATGAAAAATGCTCATCTGTGAGTGCAGAAGAGAATCAATTAATGAATATGGATGCACAGAACATCTCTAAGAAGAGAAGCAGTGTAGGAGAGCAAAGCCTTTTCAAATACTGAATRCATTACAGCAATTTCTGCAGTGTCATATCAGTTCAAGAAAAAAGAGAAAAATGGCCTGTTGTAATTTATTAAAATAATTATACATGTTAAGGTTGGGCACTGTGAAGAGCCTTAACTTCACAAGTGGATGCATGATTAAGAGGGTTCAGGCCTTTCTGGCAAGTAAATAACTTGCCTGTTTCTATTCTGATAAGCTGGAAAATGTTCCCTGCAATGTTAAAAACTGTGAAAATGGCTTTTTAGATCAGACAGACAGTACACCTCCCCCTCAGTATAATTATTTAATTTTTCTTTTGCCACAGAATGCACTAGGTAACAACCATTGCATATTAAATATTTCTTCTGAATTCAATCTTTTATCAGTTTATAAAGTGATGACAAGCTTTCATCTGGTGCTGCTCAACACTGAAAAAGTTAGCTGCATTTGTATATGAAAAAAATGAAATTACAGAACTCTATTACAAAGGACCTAAAAGAAAAAGGTGACAAAAGTATTTCAAGACAAATTGCTCCAGTCAAAACTTACTGAAATAACAATTTATTACAGTAAATTGTAAACAGTATTTTATAACAATTTATAACAATTTATTACAGTAATTGTAAACAGTAAAACAGCCAACAATAAAAACACACTTATCAATCATGATCTGAACTTTTAGATGACACATTTAGATGAAGGTGTGATGCTTTCAACAGCTGAGCTTTCAGTTTCGTGTGTCCTTTATTCTCTACCTTTCAAAGAATTAATTTTTTCTTTCTGCAGTTTCTAAAAATGAAATACTGCCATGGAACTCAATGCATAGCCCAGCAAGATGCAGGAAAACAGTGCCTTATACACTCAGCCAAATCCTCCACTAATTCTGTAACACATTCCAGAAAATATCCAGTTCACTGTCCTTGGGTAATTTGGAAAACATTTCTCAGCAGAATAGTGTTTTTGCTACAATGCTGCCAAGAAAACCTCACTGGCAGTATTATTACAGTGTGATGAGAGCTCTCAGCTCCAGGGAAATGGAGGAGAGCTGATGACATTAGAACCTTCCAGTGCTATAATCTCAAAATGCTTGGCCATGCCAAACACCTTGATGCATCCTTTATCCATTTCCTGTATTATAAACCCATTAMATTCTTTCATGTGTTATTTATTGACAGCAGTGATGATGCCTTCTTGCTAGCAGGGCTTTTTGTGAGGTAGTGGAGTGGCTGTCCTGTGTTTTTGYTTTTACCCAACACCTGTAATCCAAACTCATCTCTGTAGCTCTCAGAGAAATTCCCCTTTCAGGCTCCAATAAGACATCTCACAGGGCATAAAAGGGCTCAGGCTGAGCAAGAACAATAAAAAGTGAGTGCATGAAATACAGTGAAAATTTCAGCACCCACAGTAATACTTTCAGTTATCCCAAAGTCTAACAGTCCTTCACACAACACAGATATTCATCTATTTGTATTGTACATGACAAATAACAAAGATACTGTTTAAAAGCCATGCCCTTGCCATTAGTTAAAAAAAAAAGAGAGCAGCAGAAACTCATTAAATAACTGAAATTGCAGTGTTTGCCATCCTAGCCATCCCACTTATCTCCAAACACAGACCYTGACTTGGAAACAGAGGCAGAATCTCAGATAAGATTCAAAACCATGCAGAYCTCTCTGATTCATCAGTGAGGAATCAAATCTTTTATAGGTTAATTTACACTTCTGATCACAGGAAAAAGCATATCTAGTATTTTAAGGGGTACTAGTCTGAATGAAAAATGATTATATTCTTGTTCTATGAGTTAAAGAATTTCATCAGAATTGAAAACAGAATAATCAACCTTAGCTGTGTAAAGTTTTAACTGCTGCAATATATGGATGCCTCCCAAACAGTATTACTCATAAAAAGAGAAAGATCAAAAAAGTGCTTTTATTGCTTCACAGGCACAAGTCAATTATTARGCAGTTCAAAGCTATGGGAGAACCCGACCTG